AGTATCTGATGCCCTCTCTCTCTCTCTCTCTCTCTCTTTTATCGAGGAAGATTCATTCTCGTGAGAGGTTGAGAGAGAGAGAGAGAGAGAGAGAGAGAGAGAGAGAGAGAAAGAGGGCGTCAGCCAGTGTCTGACGCCCGCTCTCTCTCTCTCTCTCCCAACGTTGAAATGAGAATGAATCTTATAGCGGAAGATTCATTCTCATTTCAGGGCCCCCCAGCCCGCACTGATGGCCAGTAACAGCACCTTCCTTTTTCATCTTCCCCACCCCCAATCGAATGGCAGTGGCGTCTAAGGCCAGCACTCTCGCACACACACCACACTTTCATTTGACCCCTTCGCGGCAGCCTATTTAATTTCATTTGGTGACCACGGGGGGCCCGCRGCCCGTGCTGCAGGCCAGGAGGAAACATCCAGGAACTGRCAGGAAGCACCCAGTGTTGGCCCGTCTGGGRGTGGGGCCYGCAGCCCGTGCCKSAAGCCAGGAGGAAACATCCAGGAGGCACGCAGAGTTGGCCTGTCTGGGAGGCTTATGCGGAGGGGGGCCCGCAGCCCGTGCCGCAGGCCAGGAGGAAACATCCAGGAGGCASGCAGTGTTGGCCCGTCTGGGAGGGTTATACGTTTGAGACAGAACGTCCAGGTTGGCCAAAGACCCTACTGATACCGATCAGAGGTATCCAACCCACTATAACAGCTGGTTGGCACCACACTCCGTTATATGGGGCTTGAACCCACAACCTCCCGAATGCTACTTGTGTGCCTAACCAACTCAGCTAGGCCGCTGGATCAACACGTTTGCGACTTCGAACTTGATAACTTTTGCAAGGGTGCACGTGCACCCGTTCTCAAATTGGAAGTCCAAACGCGTGCAAGTCGGAAAGAAAGGGGAGGTGTGTGTGTGTGTGTGTGTGTGCGCGCGCGTGTGTATGTGAGAGAGAGGGAGAGGGAGAGGGAGAGGGAGAGAGAGAGATGCGGGAGAGAGGATTAACACGGCCCTTGGAGTCTCTCTTGTGCCGAGGTAAAATGGGAACCATCAGAGAATACTTATTTAGTTATTAGCGATTAGAGCAGATTAACATGGGCCTGCGCAAGGATGACAAGCAGAAATGCAGAAATGGGGAAGCTTCCGGAAGGGAAAAAAACAGAGTCCATTCTTATGGACGATCAACTTTCGTCGCATGCCCTGACACCTTCTGCTCTCTCTCTCTCTCTCTCTCTCTCTCTCTCTCTCTCTCTCTCTCTCTGTGTCTCTCTCTCTCTGTGTCTCTCTCTCTCTCTTTCTCTCTCTCTCTCTCTCTGAAACGAGCGGAAGTGCCATCTCTCTCTCTCTCTCTCTCTCTCTCTCTCTCTCTCTCTCTCTCTCTCTCTCTCTCTCTCTCTCTCTCTCTCTCTCTCTCTCTCTCT